ACCCAAAAATGGTAGCAAACATGGAAATAAATGTTAAAGCTGTTTTTCATAAATTTGTTTGGGGTAATTACAAATTCATACACCGAAATAGCTCCAGATATTTAGAAATACGTGGTGAAAGTGTAAAAAATGGCGTTTTTGACTTTGACGCTGTTAAGAAAAAAACATATTTTCTGTATTTTTTGCGATGTTGCTTTGACCACGGATTGAACCCAGGTGCTGATGAGTGAAAACGCGCACTGCTTACCTCTACACCACAGCGGCCGCCTGTAAGAGTTAAGGGGTTGAAATTCTATTCCGGAAAATGGATCGCTAAATTTTCTTATAGGCCTCTTAAAACAAGAATTATGTATGTTTACATTTAAGATGATTAATTTTTGACAAAATGTGTTAATTTTAGCGCAATGTAATTTGAAATGAACTGATTTATTTTTTTTTTAAATAAGTCAATTTTACTCTTTTACTCTGACTGAAAAATTCCATAGCGATGCATCTGCAGGATTTAAAAATATTTAGTTACAACATTTATGGTATGTATGTGTGTATTTAATTTTGAAACGTCATTTTTCACTCGGCCTCCTAACCAATTGCCGCATAAATGAACCTGAAGCTAATGCAATTCGGCTACTAAACTTTAATGGATGCAAATTTATCCGTATATTAATAAATAAACGCGATGATTTCGTGCTCCTGTAATGGCGAGAGAATTCTAATTAAATGAGCCTGAACACACACAAAACTAATGCGAACCAATAAATCGGGTGCCAATTGACCAATTCGCCTATTGCGATGCTCCCCCCGATATCAAAGTGGGGAAGTGGGTAATCTGAGGCGGATATTTAAAGCTATCGCAAATGGTATGGAAACACACTGTGAAAAATCTCGGGTGTAGACACAGGGAAACGTGGTGGCGGCAATCAACAGACATTAAACCACATTGTGGTAATTTTCAGCAGCCGACTGGGCTGGACACCAACGAATGTGGTTGAGGGGGGTTCTATGATTTGTTTGATTTGAAAGCCCTTGCATGTCGCAATAATTTGTGGCATACCAATTTGAGTGCCAATGTGTGTAAAACCTTAACTTATTGTTAAAATTTAATGTAGCCGAAATGAAGTGCCTCCGACGTCGCGCTTCATAAGCGTCGATTGGGCAAGCCTGTTGTAACACAAGGCTGTATGTAGGCTTAGCTGATAGCGAGCAAAAAATGAAAAACAAAAACGAATAGGAATCGCAAAACGTCTCGCATTTCACTTATAATCATAAGTTTTATATTGCTTCTTCTATAGAATGAATTTTGCGCTGACGTTTGAATTGAGCAGCTGCTGCTTGATTGGCGGCTGGTAAGATTACACATTGCATATTTACATGTACATTAGACTGCATCACTCCCCA